CTTGATCTACTTAAGCAGAGTTGGACAGCAATTTCCTGTCCCAAAATATGAGGTATTGATCACAATTTCATTTAACCTGTTATTTATAATCATTCATTTCAGTGAGGTACACAACGGTACACTCAAATGCCGTGTACATTATTTATCAGTCATTTTCTAAGAGAAACTTTACAACTATCAGCAATCTGACCACCCAATGAAGTTCTAAAAATTCCAGCACTAAATACTGATGGTAACTTATAGGTACATTTCCAACCTTCTTTTTAAAGTAATGCCTTGATGTACAATAGCCCAAGTTTCTTGAAAATAAAATTAGGGTATGTCTTCACTAGCAACGTTAAAGCGCTGCCACGGTCACACTTTAACGTGACTATGTAGTCGCAGCACCAGTACTGGGAGAGAGCTCTCCACGAGGGGAGTAGCTCCCAGCACTGGTGCATTGACTACACTGCCACTTTACAGCACTGAAACTTGCAGTGCTCAGGGCGGTGTTTTTTCACGGCCCCTGAACAAGAAAGTTGCAGCGCTGTAAAGTGGCAGTGTAGACAAGGCCTTGGGGGGGAGGGGGTTTAAAGTAGTCCCTATGGTTCTTTTGCTTTTAAATATCACAGAATTAAACTACTGTGTATTTGCTGAACACATAATGATGGCTTAGGTTGAATTTAAAGAATGTACAGACTTTTCCTGTTTAAGGAAAAACTATCATTGCCCCTTTAAGAGATAGTGGAGAAAACTCATACAGAATAATATGCAGCAATAAAACACTAGAGAGGACTAACCAAATGGCAAGCAATTTATAGCATGATATTCTCCACAGCAGGCAAACTTCACAAGTAGGGAAAAAACGTGAGGAAAAAAAAAACCTTACTGTTCAAAAAATACCTTTACCCCAGGGAGTCCCAGATTGCTACAAGCTTCTGAGAAAACCTAACAAGGCACTTCAACCAGAAAAGCCAGGAGTAAGCCACACGCCAGCTACTTGTGGAGGTACCAAAATAGTGAAGCTATCTTGAAACTTCTATGCTATGAACTCAATTTATACCAACTCATTTCACCAAGGTAACCACACAGTGATAACAGTATTGACATCTAGGTCTGAACTGATGACAGTATATCCTATTGCAAATGTCCTGAGCCATCTACTTCCTTCACACCTGCTACACAGAGTTTATGAAATCTGCATTGTATATTATAAGCACTACACATTAAAATAGTTACGTTATTGTGCGTAAGCTTTCCCACAAAAATTTCATCATATGCACTTTGAAAAGCCAACATTTGATTCCAAATCATTTTCAGAATGTGCAGATTTCATTACTACAAGTACATTTAGCAAATATTTCCTCCTTCACGTACTTGCCAAATCTAGAATCCAGACTTCACTCTCCTGCAATAACAATACCGCAACTACCCTTTTTGATGTATAAAAAAGTACAAAGAGTGCTGTATTAAGAGGTTGTGTCACTGACTGTTGCAGGATAAATAACGAACTCTTTCTAGCCTTGCCAAGTAGCTAAAAATCCATTTCCTCATTTTTTTAAATATGTACAGCAATTTGTTAATTAGATCTACACATCCATGCAACTGATTTATATTCTTTAACAAATTTTTTTCAAACTTTGCTGTACTTTCCCCAATAAAAATGGAATGCTACAGTAAATTCTCCAACCATAGATACGAAAGGCAGTCACTCAAAATTCAGACAAAACCCTTTTTCTCTTCTACTTCAGTAGGTTACATTCAAAATGTAATATTGCATTTTACAGGGTGGGGTTTGGAATTCTAAAGAAAAAACAAACCCCATACACTGGATTGTTTACTACATCAAGAATTGTTAACTCTTTATACGTTGCCATTAAACTTCATCTAAAGGTTTATAGGTGCACACCTCCAAAAAACAGTTAACATTCCATTTCAATGTACTTTTCTGACTGGAGTTCAGTGATATCATTGATTCTAGGAGTTAAAATGTATTTCAAATCCCAGTTTACTACATTCAGATGGTATTTAAAGGACCACACAGAGACATTACCAAATGAGGAACTGACAATGGGTCGAACAAAAACTCGTCAATTGCATGAAGCTATTTATTGATAGTAGCGATCTAGAGCCCTGCAAATCTGCAGCAATCCACTTTATATCTGTGGATATCCACATCCGCGGATATTTGTAGAATGCAGATCGGATGCCGATACAAAATTTGTATCCACATGGGGCTCTACAGATAGAGATACTATTTTAGTTTTAACTAGCAATCGAGGGTAAGGAACACCATCAATTTCAAATCCAGTCAATTTAAAGAGAAGAGTAAGTTAAATGAAATTTCAGGTATTAAATCTGCTCCCAAAGACGTGTGACAATTTTTTTGGTTTTACAGTCATATTTTCCTATTTTTAAGTAGCTTGTTTCTTGATTACTGTTGAATGTCCCACACAAAAGGGAAAAATGACTAGACTCTCCTCCCACACTCATTTTTGTTGATTATTTGTGCAGGTGAACCCTTATGCCCCGCAGAGCCCCATCAACAATGGTACTCCTTGAGGACACAGATCACCACAGACAATCCGCTAGCAGGATCAAGATTTAAATTAAATCAAAAGTGATCCAAAACTCACTACATAAAGCATTTTAAGTTAAAGTAAGCCAACTGGGGGGGAGAAAATTGTTGTCTAATCTCTTTACTGTGATTTTCTCTACGTGTTATTAGAAGTAACAGCAGGTAAACCATTTTCAGACTGAAGTACATTTTTAAGGTGATTATGCTCCTTTAAAAGCACCACGATTAGATTGTTAGTCATTTTTCTGTTGACTATCTCACCCCTTTAAAAGCAAGCATTCATTTTTCTGTTTCTCTGGGTCTAACCTTCTTCCACTAGGCATTTTTTTACTCAGTGCAGCTTCCTTGTTCCATCACTCCTTTATTCATGCTCATCTTTCCTCACTGCACTTTATTTCAGTTCTCCTGCCTTCAATTGCCCCTCTGTCCCTCTCCATTTTTCTGGAGAAGACCTGATAACATAACTAAGTTTAACCTATTTTCTCCCTCAAGGCCACCACAGAAACCTCTCTTTCAGGTCTAATCTGCATCAGAGCAGTGGTCTCCAAAGTGGGGTGCGCGCACCCCAGGGGATGCGCAAGAGGATCCTTGGGGGTGCACGGCAGGAGCAGCGCTTTTTTGGGGGGCCGCTTCGGCATGGCGGGGGTGCGTGCTCAAAAAATTTTTTACTGATAGGGGTGCACGATCAAAAAAGTTTGGAGACCACTGAGCTAGAGTGATGAAGTATTACAGGGAAAAGCAAACAGCCTCTGCCAGAATGAGAGGCTGAACTCCATTCTGAACTAACAAGCATTACCAGTGGACCACAAGGTACTTCCCTTTTTGTAATTTCATTTTTCCCCCTTACGGTTTATCCTTCCCTTCCATTTTCTTTAGGATTTCACTCATGATTGCTGCACATACTATATTCTCAATAGGAGCTGTAAAGGTCTCCTCTGCAAATATTAGGATTTCCAGTTATTTCTTCAAAATACATCCATCCATTTCTTCAAAATAGGAGATTCTCCTCAACCGAAATACATTAGTTATTTTTACACCTTAGTTCTTTAGTCAACAAAACACCATCACTTTCATTTCACTGTTTTTGGGAGCACATTTAACACAGTAGTTATAAACATCACTAAGACTAATTTTCCTTTCTTCAACCTGCCATATCTTATTTCCCTCTTCCAGTTATTTTCTTGCTAGTGTCCTCTTTGCCCATCTTTCCTCCCCAAGCACTGGACAATCTTCAAAAAGTTATTTATACTACCAAAACATGTGCATGTTTTATATTTTCTTGGCTTCAATAAAAAAAATAAGACTTAGATGAAAGTACATAGACTACTATGATTACAAAGGGGAAAGTGATTATGTCTAAAAAGTAATTTAAAAAGAGACAACTTAGTGGTTTAAGAATCAGAGTTGAAATGCTCAACTTAACTGGAACAACAGGGTCAAATACCAACACGTGATCAGTTAAACTCCTCAGCCATCCATAATACAATAAACCAAGTTAAATGCAGTTTAACTTTTGTGGGTATTGGAGATAACAGCTGAGATCCCATATACTCTACATTGGCATGGGGGGGGGGGTTGTACTTTACATAAGAATATACATTAGATTCAGTATGCAGCACCAAAGTTTTTTTTTGCTTTCATGGTTGTTTGCTAAGCTAGATACCAGTTAACACCTACCCCTCCAGTCCAACCAAGGTAGCAACCCTGACATCATATACACTCTCTGAAATGCAATTACATCCTTAGGAGTGAATGATGCTATAAATGCAAAATGTTATTCAAGAGACCTTGCAATAAAGATCTTGAGATTAAAAGAAATGTTGTTCTACCGCTTGAAATAATGCAATTAACAGGGAGAAGTTAGTAGGCATTTTTACGTGGCGGTTTATGGGCAGCCACCCCCCAGGCAAACTTGAACCCACGTAAAGGAAAAGCACGTTACAGCGACGGCTTCAGACCCGGAGCTAACTATGCCGGGATGCCCCGCTGCGTCCCGGGCCCGGCCCGCCCCTGCGAGGCGGAAAGTCACCCGGAGGGGTCACAGCATCCGGAGCCCCGGGGGACCGACACCAAGGGCGGTAGGAGGCCCGAGCCCGGGGGAGGAGGCAGCGAGAGTTGCCGACACGGCCAATCCCCCTGCCCCGCACGGCACCAGCGAGAGCTGAATCCAGGCAGCTCCTCGGCGCCAGCCTCACTGGCCGTAGCCCCGGGGGAAGCGCCCGAGCAGGAGCCAGGCAGGCCCCGGGCACAGCGCCCTGGCGGCTGCGGGACGGGGCGGCAATGCCGGGGTCCCGGCGGGAGGGGCGCCAGGCGCCGCAGGGGCCCCAGCCCCGGGGAAAGGGCGAGCCCGGGTACCGCGCGGGGCCAGCCGCAGGCACCGAGCCGCCTCGCAGAAAGACCCACCCCGCGGGCCAGGGGTCCCGGCTACCGGCCCTGCTCTCACCTCGCCGCGCCGCTGCCCCGCAGCAACAGCCATTTCCCGTCCCTGCCGCCGCCGCCACCGCCGCGGATAAAGTCACTGGAGGGACGAGCCCGCCGCCGCCGTGCGCTCACTTCCGGCCGGGCCCGAGAGCCCGCCCCCTGGGGGCGGAGGCCAGGCGCTGAAGAGACGGGCAGGGGGAGGAGCGACTCTGATGAGGGGCGGGGAAAGGGGGATAAGGGCGGGACCCTGAGGGCGGGGGGCGGAGCGTGGCCTGTTGCGCAAGGGTGGGGCTCTGCGTGAGCTCACACATGTGTTCTTATTGTTACGTCATTGTTTATGGCTGTAATGACTGGGGGCTGAGTCACTTGGACCATGACCTATTGCTCACAGCACCACGGGGAGGTGGCAGGGCAGCCAGCTCCAGCTTCTCCCTTTTATACTGGAACCAACAGGCTGGTTCCTGTAATGGTGATTTGGGGAGGAGCCAGATTCCATGTTCCAGCTCAGACAGCCTGGCTCATGTTGTGGCCAGGTCAGGCTCATGTTGAGGGTATCCCACATTCTGCAGAGCCTGCGTATTTTGTAGCAACAAAAATCCCTGCCAGAAATTTTTCACATGGTATGCACAACTGAACTACTCTTGATTTAGGGGTCATATTACCGTCAATCAAGGGGCTGCTGGGCCAAAGTTCAGTAAGTAACGTTGTGACCAGCAACCTCTGTCGATGTGTTGCCAGGCCAAAGCTGAGTGGCAATGCAACCCTGCACACCAGGTCATAATGCCTCTCAGTTTGGGGGCCCTCTCAAATAGGGCCTGGGACAAACTGGCCCGTGCCATCCCTTGCATGAACAACATGCATTCAGCTTGCAAACACTACTCAAGAAAGACCATTGTGAAAATTTTCCCTTGAAATCAATGAGCTGCACAGGCAGGAAAATGCCTATTGTGTCATTGCACAAACAGCACAGGCTGTGTCAGAAGAACTGAGGGAGATTTTAAATATCTGGTGGAAAACCACATTGCATCAAAAAGGACATATTTTAAAGACTGCCTTCAATTTAATTTAACCTAAAAATCTTTGACCAGGCTGTAAAGGCTGGATATTGTCATCAAAATGAATTGCCATATCGAAAGAGATGCAGAGATTTTAGGGGGAGGTGCTACTCAACCTAATTTCCTTTTCTTATCGTCTGATCTACGTAAGAATTTTCAGAATTACTGGAAACTTGCATAACAAACATGTCCTTCTCCGGAGCTGCAGTTCAGTACAAATACAAAGAACTTCCTTTATCACATGCTGTGGAGGAAGGGTACTGAGTGTGCTTTCTGGGGAAGAGAAAATAAATCAAACTAAGAGTTTTGGAATGACGCTAGTAAAATAGAGTTAGATATATATAGCTTGTGATTTTTAATAGCAGAAGTAGTATTTCAGCATTTGTCAGTGGAAATGGCTATAATGTAATCAGGCACATCTTCCATTAAATAAATATTCACTGTAATTTTACAAAATATTTCATAGCCCCCAAATTATCAGCATTTGGAGTACTGAATTTTTCTGAACTGTCAGAATGAAAAAGAAATAAAAATTTTGTCTTAGTAATCTCTGAAAAGTACAAATTGTTTTTTGTATGTTCAAAAAGTATTATAGATGGCATTTTAGACCAAGGTTAGGCAAATATAACATCTCATAATATCTAATAAAATGCATTATATGTACTGTAACAAAAATATTATTTTTCAGTATTAATTTTGTAAAAACTTACCAAGAGAATGACACCGTATTCTCTACATTTCAAGATGTGTCACTCACAATGATCAAATGATTCACTGTGACTATTGATATTTTATTCAGATAATGAACAACTTTTGACATTTCTGGAGACCCCCAAAGCAACAAAATATATAATTCAGGCTAGATGGCACATGAAAAACTGTCAGTAAATTGCTCAGTTCATGAAGAAATTACATATATTGCTTACCTGGAATATACTCTTGTCTTAGTTTTTATATTGGCACCCATCATGGCAGTATCTGACTGCTTATTGTAAGAATTAATCAGTTAGGCTCTGATCCTGTACCATTAAAATCAATGGGAGCTTTGCTATAGGATCAAGACCTTTAGGTCTGATAATGAAAACACTGCATTCAGAACTACTATAGAGGGCTTGCATGATTGGGCTTTTAATGATTATAGTTGTAAAACACTACAAAGGTGCTAGATATTACCTAAAATATGACTGCCTGGGACTGGACCAAATATGAGTCATAGAAATTTGATACAGAAAGGGACTAATTTGGTAATTTAGTCCATTTCACAGACCAATGCAGAATTATTCTCTTCAGTCTATTATCAAGTCTATTTCCAAGTCTAGATTAAATGTCATAAGCAGCAGGGGCTCTTGCTGTCAGGAAAGTTTCCTGATATTCAGCCTACATTTTTTTTATCTCATCATAACTAGTTACCTAACTATCTACTCTAATCTCTTTAAACACATTCCTATAGTGCCCATCACTATGGTATATAAGTACTGATCCCCTTGTATACCCTAAAATATCCCCTTTTTGTTTGTTTGTTTGAAAAGAAATTCTATAAAAATAGCAATGTGTGGTACGATGGTCATAGTTTCTCAACTACATGCACATTAAATTTGCTCATTTTACACCTCCTGCCTTTGTACCATTAGATATACTTTAATAGAGTTCCCATCCAGCTTTTGAAACTTGTCTCCTATTTGTTATGTGTCCAGTAGGGGTTCTCTTATATGTAAGGTGTTATGGCACCAACACACCTTTTTTGAGCAGTCAAACTTTCAATGATGAGTGGATCCAGCCAAGTGGTTCTGCTTCTATATGGTAACTACTTGGTACAAGCCCAGCTTGTAGGTAGGACAAAATTATCGCATTCTTATTTGAACTGATGAGGGGGATGCTGACACAGCCCACAGCTTTGTTTATGAAGGCATAATTATAATGATCTCTCTGTGCCTTGGGTCAAAGAATGGTGTCACCCTTAAAGTATTTATGATACAGGAAATCACTAATGTGAACATATAAATGCTGTACACATGTATAACCAGTGTCACTATTTTGGCACTGTATGTGCTATCAGTGATACACTGGTAAAATATCTAAATTGCCCTGTACATTTTCAGGGATCCTTTTTCAAACACGTGTTTTGTAAGGGTAGATTTGTATGACAGACAGATTGGAAATAAAGGTTGGTCCTTGACTAAATAAAAATTGTAAATTCAAAGCATACATTAACAAACTTTTGTCACTATAAACACTTTCTCCAATTAATGGGAAAAATGTCTTTTAAGGATCAACTCTGCCACTGCTATGATCACCATCCTTGACACTCGTAGGACACTAAGCTTGATTCTCATATATGTTTTGCCTTAACTGCATATTTCTTTCCTCTGTAGTTTTGTATTACATCTTTTTATTATTTAAATATAGTTATTTTGTAGGAAAATCAATATTGGTATTTTATGATACATTATTAATAATTACAAATGTGGATTTATGAACTTCTAATTAAACAAATGGTCAGCTGCCTAGAACTAACTTCTCACAAAAGTATATTAAACTTATAGGATCTGATCCAATGCCTACTGAAGTCGATGGAATTCCTTCTTGGTATATGGCATTAGTTCTCTTGGTTAAAAACAGGAATGGTTCTAGCTCCAAATTCAGAGCTGTATTTTTAAAAACTTACCGTCCAACTTCTGGAAGTGTTTTTATTTGGGGTCCTGTTTCTGTCCTTTATATAAGTAGGAGTAGCTGTGAAATTTGTACCAAGATCCAAGTTTGGTTTCTGACCTTCTCACGCCAATGTTTGGATCTGATAGTTTGGCTTACACCCATGTTTAGTTTAATATAGTTTCAGGTTCATTTCACTGCAGTGTTTTCACAGAGGAATAACAGAATAAATGTATGCAAAAGACAAATAACACTGTGCAACTAATTATGAGAATAGTTCTTCTGACAATATTCAAGACACAATACAACTTTTATGTATGCCCAGTGCAAAAAGATAAAATATGTACATAACAAAAATTATTTTTAAGCTTACATGAAAATATTAAAATCGATTTTTTTTAAAACTTCTACAGTTACACCTTAAACAGTTATTCACAACCTATTCAGGTGACTCTTCCAGGTTACCCGACCAAGATCTTAGCTGTATTATTTGTATTGCTAGCTAGCTTTTATTAACTGGTGAGAGTAAGCCCAAACACCATTGTGAGTTAAACTGTACTTCACTGAATGGGAGGTTGGTACTGGAAACACACCTGTCATTAAGGGCCTGAACCTGTTTCCATCAAAATCAGTAGAATAGGATTAGGCCATAATATAGGAATGGGGAGCATAGCATGCCAGTCACAAAAGCCTAAAATCCTAATACTGACATATGGATCAGTAGTTGGGAACAACTGCTTTAAAAATAGGGAATTAGATCCATAGAGCTATTCTGATTTGGAGCTGAGGATTTGACCCAATATCAATTTAAAAAAAATAAAGATTTGGTGCAATTTGGTTCTTAGTTTGTACTATATACACACAATATAAGGAGAAGGGGGAAATCTTAATTTTTAATAACTAAATAAAATATACCATTTTATTTTTCTCAATGTACTACTCATATGAGGAAAGTTACTCATCTGCATGCAGGATCTGGACCTTGTTCAGGAAAACTATAAGATCTATTTACATTTGGGCTAATGGTTAAATATCTTAAAGGCATGTAAAGTTATTTTATCTTTTGGATAACTAGCTTTTACAGATGATGGAAATAATTACGTTAAGAAAATATTTTCAAAGGTATTCAACAATTACACCTCTACCTCGATATAACGCTGTCCTCGGGAGCCAAAAAATCTTACCACGTTATAGGTGAAACCACGTTATATCGAACTTGCTTTGATCCACCGGAGTGCGCAGCCCCGCCCCCCCGGAGCACTGCTTTACCGCGTTATATCCGAATTCGTGTTATATTGTGTCGTGTTATATCGGGGTAGAGGTGTATTAGCTAAAATGGCATAATAGTTGCAATTCTAGAGTTAAATCTTTCTTACCTTACTCTTACAACTAGTACTAGTGCTCTCACTGGGACTATTCAAGAGTGT